AGGAATTGTGCTCCAGCCCCTTCGCTGCTGGGGCTCAGCAGCAGCTGCCCACACCCCTGCCTGGTGCAGGAGCGTTTTGGATGTCCGGTTGCATGCAGGCAGTGGTTTGAGGGGAGAAGCTGCTGTTTCTTCACCCGCAGTTTCCATACCTGGCAGACCAGGCCCTCTGCTTCACAGTTTGCTCTGTATCCCAAGGAGCTGTTGAATTTCCAATATTCTGGAAATAGGATGGCTGTGGAAGTGTGAGTGCTGCTTAATCAAGAGTAATTTAACTTCTGATGCAATTGTGGCTCTTCCTAGAGCCCCTCTCCTTCCCTCCCGCCTCCAGAGGAGCCGGCACCGTGGCTGTCACAAGCTTTGCTCTACCTGGCTTCGGTTGGGGTGTTACAAGAGTCACTGTCCAACACGTAATGTTAACTTTTGTCTGCGGTGGCTAATTTTCATCTCTCTGAAATGATTTTTCAGGATGCAGGCTACGCTGGATGAACTGCCTTCTGCGCTGGGGTCCAGCCCGCCTGCAAAGACATCTCACGCCTCGCAGAAAAGCAAGAAGGCAAAAGAGCTCTGCAAGCGCTCCGGAGATCAGATGATCATTGTGAGGTTCCCCTCGGGGCGTGCTGGGTCCTGGGGGTGACTTGGTGGTGAGGAAAGAAAGGAATACGTCTTGGGGCAAACCGCTGGGTAGATTTCCTTACCTGTAAACCTCAAACCAACCACACTGCAACTGTAACAGGGCAGGGATTAGCATGTTTAGCACTAGACTAAGACAGGGTAGCAGCTGGGAAAGAGGTTGTTGAGATTTCCCTGGGACTAGCGCGTTACTACGTTATGGAATTACATTGGTTTAAAATTCCAAAGAGATTTATGGAACATAATAAAGAACAAACAAACAAACAAAAAAAAACACAACAAAAAAAACCAAACAACCCAAAGGGGATCTCGGCCAAGTCAGCATGGATGCTAGGAGTGAATTTGGCTGGAGAAGTTTCCTTTCCCACGGCGTCCCGGCCCGCTGTGCGAGCCGAGCCAGCACAGCCCTGCAGCCACAGCGGCCAACGTCAGCGACCGAGAGCTGAGCCCAAGCGGAGCTCGCTCTGCCAACAGTAGGTCCCTCTTTGCTATCTGCCTTCCTGCTGTTGCCCTTCTGCGTGGAGTACTGATATTTTTGGAGCAGGAGGAGGCCAAACGGTGTTATATGTAGCCGTCACGCATAAGGGTTTCCAGAAAACACTCCCTCGGCCACGAGTCATTTTTTAGCAAACCATTTGTTCTCACTTGGTGACATGCAGACTTCTTCAAGCCTGTTTCCTGAGGGAGCGGGGCTTATGTGATCATTCTTGTCTGCTGATCTGCCCTTTCCAGCACCTTTTGAGTTATTTGGATGATTTCTGTCAGAGTTGAGACCTCACAGATGCAGGTTTTTGAAGCTGGTTCCCCGGGGAAGACGGATGAGTGCGAGGAAAGCCGCAGCACGTACCCAGGAGTCACGATGGTCACCCAGGGCCCACGAGAGACAGGCTGTGGGTGCTGTGACAGGAGGGGAAGCCCAGACTGGGACGTGGGGAAGGGAAAGTAGCTGCCGTAGCAGCCGGTGCAGGGAAATGAGTCCTTAGCAAACTAGGCTTTGCTTTACCTCAGCACTTAGCCATCTGCTTGCACAACTGGCATTTGGTTCCTTCTCTTCCCCTCCCTGTGCACTGATGAGATAAAAACGGGGTTATTTATCAATTACCCTTGGAAAGATTACACGGAATTTGCCTTTGGTGCGTTTTTTTGTGGCAGTCTTTTACATTGTTTCCTCTGAGGATGTTGCTTATCTCTTTCAAGGCTTGTCCCGTATAATGCATTCATTGTACCCCTGGATAATTTAATAGTTCAGAATATTCTGCAAATAAGCAAAAGCTTGTCCTCCCCTTCACAAATTCAAATGAAAACAAACACTTAAGTCTTTGATGCTTGTTACTAGAACCAATTCTCAACCTCATTCCTTAAATGAAATGTGGGTTTGAACAGCTCCAGAGTGCTTAACTGGCTTTGTGTCCCTCTAGGATGCCGGTCAGAAGCATTTTGGTGCCATCGTTTGCAAGTCGTGCGGCATGATCTACACGGCTGCGAGCCCGGAGGATGAAGCCCAGCACATCCAGCACCACGAGCGATTCCTGGAGGGGCTCAGATACATGGTGAGGGGCTGGCTGCCCGCGCAGCTCGGCCGAAGGTGGGGAAGGGGAGCGGGGTTCGGAAGTGGTGCGCGATCTCCAGGTACAGAGTCGAGACAGCTGCAGGCAGATGTTCTGTCATCCAGAGGGGAGGTTAAATGTGAGTTTGGCGGTTCCAGCAACTGTCTGCATTCATCAGTGTGATGGATGTGACTCGACTTTTTTCCTGAAAGCTGAAGGAATTCAGATTACAGCTGCATCTGCCAGAGTCCTCGCTGAATCACTTCCTCTCTCTTGCTAGACCACTAACTTGTTTGTTTGGGGTTTTTTTTATCCCCTCTGTGACAGGGTTGGAAGAAAGAACGAGTTGTGGCAGAGTTCTGGGATGGGAAAATTGTATTGATTCTTCCAAATGACCCAAAATACGCCGTCAAGAAGGTACATGTTTGTTTATTTTGGGGTTTATATTGTAGCTGAGCTTTCTCCTGGCTCAGCTCCCGGAACTACCTCAGCGTGCGATCGTACGTCGCACGGGGCACACGGGAGAGCTGAGAGGGGGGTTGTGGCAGCAAGCCGGGTTGCTGTGGACACCCACCCTGACACATCTGAACGCCCCTCCCTGTGCTGAAACCCTTGTTCTTACACCACCAGCATAACCCGATCCTTCCCGTCCCAAGGACTGGGGTGTGAGGCAAGAGGCGTAAAGATACGAGCGAGGGCCTGTTCCTTCGTGTTCTCTACCCAGTTAGAGCCTGATCTTGCGTAGGCAGAGGCTTATTTGGGGGAACAAGTCCCCATTCTGACAGGTTTCAGGCCAGAATGCGTGCGTTGTTTCCCAACACGCCTCTCCGGTTTTGTTTTCTTAGGCAGAAGACGTGCGAGAAATTGTAGATAATGAATTGGGATTTAAGCAAGTTTCTTTGAGCTGCCCAGCCAAGACTAAAATATACCTCTTTGTGTCCAACGAGAAGATGATTGTTGGGTGCTTAGTGGCTGAATCGATCAAGCAGGTATGTGTTATTAATTGGATGGGGGTGAAATTGCAGGCTAATAACTGCTGTTGGCGGATGCCAGCGCATGGGAAATCCTGGCTTAGCACAGGAAGGGGAACAAATAAAACTAAGGAAGTAAAAAAACAGACAAACAACCCACCCTAAAAACAAGAAGAAAAGTGAAATTAAGGAAAAGCTCGTGCTTCTGTCAAGGTGAGATGTTGCTGGTTGGGAGTAAGTTGAGTTTGCGCAGCTGATACTGCAGCCAGCTTCCATCTCACCCGGGTTTGGGTGCGGGTTTGTGTGGTGGCCTGCCTTGTCGGAGAGCAGAAGGCAGGGCTGGGAGCATGGGAAGGCGCTTCAACCCATCAGCAAGGAGCAGTTTCATCCTTTCGCTCATCCCTGCAGGCTTTCCGGGTGCTGTCTGAGCCAGGAACCGCACCGGCCCTCAGCCAGGACCCCCTGCAGCAGCACCGGGCCTGGCGCTGCTCCACAGAGCCGGAGCCCGCCATCTGCGGCGTCAGCAGGATCTGGGTGTTCGGCCCAAGGCGCAGGAAGGGCATTGCCCGGCGCATGGTGGACGTGGTCAGGTAGGGAGCAGCGGGATCGCGTCTGGGGGTTACTGGGGAGAAAACAATTCTTGCAGCAAAAAGTGCTTAGAAGGAGCTTATGGAAAGGGACAAGTTTGTATCATTAAGTGAGTCCAAAATCCTCACATCATAGTGGAAGGATATCAAGTGGGCAGTTCTTCCCGCAGAGGGTGGGGAGGCACTGGGACAGGTTGCCCAGAGAAGCTGTGGATGCCCCATCCCTGGATGTCTTCAAGGCCAGGCTGGATGAGGCTTGGAGCCACCTGGTCTAGTGCAAGGTGTCCCTGCCCATGGCAGGGGGGGTGGAACTAGATGATCTTTAAGGTCCTTTCCAACCCAAATCATTCTGTGATTCTATATTGTAGTGTACCTAATATGTAACATTTTTATGTAAAATCAGACACAAGTGTGGGCCAAGCTGCTCAGTGCTGGGTATGACTGGAACACAGAGCTACACAGGATGGACTTCCAAGAGTAACTCTGCTTATTGGGAAATAAAACACTTAAGTCGATGGGCCCAAACACTTGAATTTTTCCAGGCAGGGGAATTCCAAGCTTGAAGATCTTAGGCCAGACTTAAAAACTTCCCCTGGCCTATCAACGTGGACTGCCTTGAGGCCGAGCTTTGTAAGGCTGAGCTTAGGAGTCCAAGAGCTGGCAGTAGTGGGGATCTGTGTGTCACATCTGTAGCTACATGTTTCTCATACAGACACAAAATACACGAGTATCTGTGTATGGATTTTTACAATCCTATTGTGTCTGTCACCAAGATATTTAACTGAAACCTTCGGTTTCCACATAAAACTGTATCTGGAGGGTTTCTGCCTGTTTTCAGTCTTACATTATCCTTCTTGCTAATTTTAAAATCCCTCCCGCTTCCCGATGACACCGGAATTGGAGAGCAAAGGGGCACCCCACACTGAGCTGGTTTGAGTAACAGCTGCCTGCAGAGGAGGGCTGGAGGGAAACGGCCTCGGCAGCGTGGTTGCGGGGACGGGCCGTTGCGGCGCAGCGATAGCTCCGCGCTCTCTTTCAGGAGCACCTTCATGTACGGCTGCTACCTGAGCACCGAGGAGCTCGCCTTCTCCGACCCGACGCCGGACGGCAAGCTCTTCGCCTCCAAATACTGCCAAACCCCCAGCTTCCTCGTTTACAATTTTGTTTATAGCAACTGATTCGACTTGACTGTTACAAGTTGAGGTTTGTTTAAAGCATCTAAGGTAATTTTGATGTTTTAATTAACACTTAAGCGTTGCTACCGCGTTGAACGCTGTTTTTC